CCAAATTATGCTATCTTTTCCAGCCCGATGTCAAAAGAAAAAACTTCTAGTTTATTTTAATAAAACAATCGGCTATATTGGAATTTCATATTATTATTATCAACTAAGTTTCATTACGCCCAAATATATTGTAGTAACTTAGGCATGTCATCAATTACGGCGACTCATTTCCGGAAGAATCGCCATAATAAATACTCATATTCAACTATAAAAGCTCGCATCGAACTAAATTAAACTTATTACGGATAAACTGGACAACTAAGTCCAACTGCAGACATAAAGCTTTCCATAGAAAGGTTACTTGTGCATGTTTCTCCTGAAGACTCAAAATAGCTGACAGACAGATTATCTCGTTTACCTTACCAGCAAGTGAAAATCGGACTTTTTCATGAACACTGCGTCATTACTCCGATAGATAAGTTAATGTAGGAGCTAACACAGAAATCCAATAAATCAAGTTATTCGGTCCTAGATAACCTATTAAGCGCCCAATGGATGCTTGAAAATGTTCATCATACCGTAGCATACCGCTTAGGGACGCGGTGACACGCCGCCGTGAAATAATTGGAGTGCCGCCGATAAAATGGGGAGTACAGACGGAATATCTCCGAAGTCTTTTTTTAAAATTGGAAGAAGATTAAAAACGATAAGTAAGATATCTATTTAAATCAGGAATGGCATAACTACAATTATCATCATATTTTTTTTATGTGAAAAGTTGCCAAACGAGCACAAGGTTCACCTGGTGGTAAGTGAATACCGCCGCCCATGGACATCTGCTACACCCGAGGCTTACAGATGGGTTGACAACCTTTTGAAAATTGGGCTCCGGCTACCTCACTCACCAGACGAAATGCGAAAGTATTTGTCATACTTCCACTTTACGCTGGTCTTCTGTGAGGTCATGGTACTTACCCGGACGGACCCGGACATGGCCCTACCACCGTAAAATAATGACTTTACTAATTCTAGTCAAGGTATTACCATTTTATCATACCGAACTTGAGATTTGAGGCTGATTGAAATCCAAATGGTGATTGAAATGGAAATTATTTCCAAAATTTTATCCTTTGTGTAACGACAAGTTGAACATTGAAACGTTTAGCATTAGCTATTGTGTTGTTAATATAAAACGCGAATTATGATAATATGGAGAGGGAGTTGACCACCTGGAAAAATGTGGGCCGTGCGCGACTTCTCTCTCGTTATAGCTCAAATCTTCACTTTACTACTACAGGTGTGAAGGACTCCAGATGCGACGCCCTGTTGTTTTCTAACCATATTCCCTCACTTGCCCAACACATTTTCACTTGACCTTTTCTTTTCTTCTTCCTCCTCGTTACTCTTCCAGTTTCTCCGTTGAACTGCCTGTCTACGTTTTGGGTCACTGTGACCCAAAACGTACTAGAACGTACTAGCGAATTTCAATCGTCTTTAGTCTAAGACGTTCTAGAAATTAGTTGAATTTCGATCGTCAGTGTAATAGAATTTTCTGGAATCAGGGCCCTAATTTCCTTCGTCTCTTTAATAGAAAATTCTATTATAAGAACCTTGTTTTACTCTAAACTGCTTATATAAAATTAAATCAAGTTCGTCATTCGAAACTGTCAAGACGGTGTATGCCGTCTTGACAGTTTCGAATCAAAGACAAAAATTTATTTAACCACCTAAACTAGTTCATAAACTCAGTATATGATAGATACGCTAGGCTTATGATATTCAATAACTCGTGAAAGTCAGCGGTTACCACTCATTAATATTTACCTCGTGACGCTAGTTTGCTGACATAGTTCCATTTACTCATATGAAAGTGACTTGATTCGTATCTATTAGGGACTACATTTCCAATTCATATGGCGGCATAATCGAAATTGCTTTCAGAAATGTTAATTAGGGAACTAAAAAGAATATTATAATGAAAACTTTTTGACGTGACTATGACACGAATAATAAGAAATAAAATATCAAAGTTAACAAGACGGTCAAATAGGTAATTTACCTAGCAAACAAAGCAAATGGTCTAATGCTTCGAGTATGAAACTCTGTATGCTTAACTTTATTTCAAAGTTTCTCAGACATACAGTCCCCAAAATGCTAATGTGTCTTTAAAATTTTAAATAAAGAATGCGCTAGTGTACAATTTTTGCGTATTCGTTTTGTGTATCTCCTATGGACGGTCGAAGAACGCAATATTATGTTGTCACTGACTACACATTTTTTATTATTAGCGTAGCGTTTTAGCATAGCTAGAATACAAACACAAATATAAGAGTTCTAACGTTTTACCTTGATCCTAATATTTTAACTATTAGTGAACTTGAATATTAACAACTATTATAACGACAAGCAGCACTAGTGGTTATATCACCGTCCGGGAACGCGGCCGAAGTCCAAGTGACCACTGCTCCATGCGACCATGTGTCCCTTGGCTCGAGAAGATAACGAACGTCATATCCGGTATACAGTGTTGCCAGCGCCAACATTGGGCCGTCCTGCATCAGGCCTTCGTCCTCGAATGGCGTTGTAGTCTGGTACAAGTAACCTTCATAAAATTAACACCTTACCCTGTGGCTTATCCCTCTAAACTGGGATGCACATCGCCACGTTCAAAACACTTACCCTGTGGCTTATCCCTCACAACTGGGATGCATATCGCCACGTTCAGAGCACCTTACCCTGTGGCTTATCCCTCACAACTGGGATGCATATCGCCACGTTCAGAACACCTTACCCTGTGGCTTATCCCTCACAACTGGGATGCATATCGCCACGTTCACAGTTTTCAGTGATTTATTAAACTTAGGTGGCTTTACCGGTTACACCAGTCGTGTATCGCTACGTTGTCTAAGTACCAGTGGTGGTATTCACAATGGATATCCATCACCAGTTCATGCCTTAAATCTTCCAACTACTAAAATGCTCGGTAACTTAACCGGGTAAACCAGTTGTGTATCGCTATTTTACATTTTCTCAAATATGATAAGTAATTAATTAACTGGAAGGTACTCACCAAAACTTTCGTTACATTTAACCAAAAGATTTATCACCATTACGTATAGTAAGTATAAAACACACTGTTTTATTTTACGAGGGTAGGTACAAAAGGAGAAAATATGTCGCCGATTGTTTGAACAGTCAAATGCGAGTTTTCGTATTGAATCCCACTTCTGATATAAGAGTTCTAACGTTTTTACCTTGATCCAAATATTTTAACTATAAGTGAACTTGAATATAAACAACTATTATAACGACAAGCAGCACTAGTGGTTATATCACCGTCCGGGAACGCGGCCGAAATCCAAGTGACCGCTGCTCCATACGACCATGTGTCCCTTGGCTCGAGAAGATAACGTCATATCCGGTATACAGTGTTGCCAGCGCCAACACAAAAAGCTGGTGTGAAGTGGAAGTCGTACAGTAACGTTTAAACTTTTTTAATATTACCCGCGATTGTTGTTTGTCGTTTAATATGTGCAGTTTACTTATTTCTTTTATTACGATATCTGATTAAAAATGTGTGGGCAGGCTCGTCCGGGTAAGTACCACGACCTCACAGAAGACCGGTGTAAATTGCCATAAATATAGAAAACAATTAATTTAAAAAGCAAATAGGTATATGTATGTTTATCTGCTTAAATACAACAACTCAAAACTGCAAAAAAATTTTGTGGAGACTTAAAAGTACCCCGATGAACAATTTAGTATTAATGGTTAGGGAAACAATTTAGTATTCATTGTATTATTATTATCATGCTATTCTACACAAATAATTTAAATGGAATCTGCATTTTGAGTGCAACATTTTGAAATTCAAGTCTTTGTTCCTAGCGTCATTATTCTTAGCGCCCTTATTCAATTGTCTTTACGTGATTTTATTCTGTAAGATTTTATTCTTCCTTACTTTAAGGCTTATTTTCTATTTATCTCAGAAATAGTTTTAAAATATTTACTACTTTTCCGGCAAATTATTGATCAACTGTAATTTAGATAATTTGGTCATATTCAATTCATAACAAGTTTTATAATTTCCTATAATATTCGTAGACTTGGAAACAAAATAATATAATATATTCACAAACTTCAGACGTCGCATAGATGTTTCACGATATGCAATAACTTTAAAAAAATTGTAGGTTATTTTATTGATTTAAAAACTCTATCCTCTCGTCTCTTCTTTTTGAAAAACATCACTGATTGAATCACGTCGATGACTGGTTTCGCAAATGGAGAATCGACATTAACCCCTAAAGGATCGTAGCAATACACTTCACTCGGACTAACGCCATAGCCAACTCCAACGTCCAACTGACTCGTCGTCGTCCAAACAAAACTATAGCAAACGCCCTCGAGCGACAACCAATCTCAAGGGGAGAACAGGACTAAATAACTTGGGGTCACTTTCGACTCCAGAATATACTTTAAAACTCAAGCCGAAGCCCGGGACATTGCCGCTTTCCGTCAAGCGAAATACCCTTAAGGCAGCTTTTATGTCCTACGCTTGCATGTATTTTTGCACACTTCCACTCTGAACGCCTCCACATCCTCGTATCTTTACTCCTATAACTTCATTTAGACTACTCTTTGCATTTTAGAAGCAAAAGTAACCAATAGAATTCTTTGTTATATATTACTTTGGTATTCATCGACGAGAAAGGAAACTATCTACATTTTATTATCAAAGCTGTCTTACCCATTTCACTATGGATATTTTTAGATAACCTCGTATCCTTGCGACGGATTATTATTGTCGCTTTTAGTATTGCTGCCTGGTGACTCAAATAATGTTTCAAATTCAAAGTTCCACGGCTCGAATTCTAGTGTTGCTCACACTATTTAACGTGAATGTAAATTTATTATTTATTCACCACCATTGATGGATTGGATAATAATAAATTTGTTTTTTTTTTTATGTGCGAAGATAGTAAGCGAGGGTGCAGTTCACCTGATGTTAAGTGATAACTGTATTTCGGATGGGCAATACCTGCCTGTTCCATGACCATGGGTTTTTGGAATAATAAAAAATAGAATATAAAAAAATAATACCATTAAATTCATGTAAGGAATTAAATTTTCATATAACAGTATAATTTAAATCCATGTGTCACACTAGAATTTAAGCTATACTTAAAATTTGAATGAATTCTAAATTAAACTTAATTTTATTTATATAATTTGTTTAAATAAATAAATTATACATAAATAATCTCCACTTAGAAGGCCAAGCAGTTGTCATCATAGGTATCTCCGAATACAAACAAGTTACGGAGATTAAGTAATAGTCTTAGACTGCGGAAAGACTAAAGTTTTATACTATGTAGTGAAGCGTCCATTAAAGTAGACAATCGCTTGCAACCAGGTGTTGCCAGTTGCTAGCTCATTTGTCACTAAAGCTTCAATAAAACTAACTACAAAAAATTTTCTACATCTATTCTCATTCATTCAAGTCATTCCCATAGACGTAGCATGAGCTTGTGTAAATATTTTTTCTCAATTAACACCACCATCAATGCATGGAAACATATTCTATTTCGATATTAACAAATTGACTGCTAATAAGCGCGGATCTATGGATCATGTTGTTTAGTTAAAAGTCATGTTGTAATAGCAGCTATGGAGCCGAAGGGGAACGGAGCTTCGGGGTCATGAACACACCAAATACGTATATTTTTAAGATGAAAAAATAGCATGAGTGTAAAACAGTTTATTAACTCATCATCATTAGTCGTATGACGGCCACCGTGAACATAGGACCTCACTCTTAGAACGCCACAACAAAGTAATTCATTTAAAAATAATGTTTCTCATTTGATGAATCTATATAAATTACTGGATGACGTATTATCAAATTGTATTGGTAGAATACTGTTTTTTCAAGTATTTATCAGAAGTTGCCATTATATTTATTTTTGAATAAGCACAAGAATAACTTTTTTAACTAAACGCAGCAGCTTCTGCTATTGTACGAATGTACCACGGCCCCACAGAAGACCAGCGTGATGTGAAAGGATTATACTTTCTCAATTCATCTGGTGAATGAGATTACCGGATTCCACTTTTTAATGGTTGGCAACGCATATGCAATCGGAACCGGAATAGATGGCGCACTTTGGAGGAGGCTTACGTTTATCAATGGACGGCGATAGGCTGATATTGTATTGTATTATACCAGTCCTACATTCATGTTCATGTCATGTTATTGGACGTCGTGAAATAGAAGAATTACTGCAATGGTATATTTTAGGGATTAGGTATATCACATTTGGGCTAACACGTCTGATATCAACGGAACTATAAATAGAAAATTACCTCGTTGAGAATTTTCCTTGAAATCCCAAGTAGTAATGCGGTCATATCGTGGCGTGTTATTTGTGCACACGCGATGAAAATTGTATTACCAAGTCAAATGGAAGGAATGGCAGTGGAAATTGACACGTCATAATATTACTAACGACAAGAAATCCTGCGCCACTGTTGCTTTACAATGCAGTGACTGAATAAATGATCTATTTTTTGTAAACACGAGGATGATCTATTTATCTTCGAGAGTCCGTACGATTGAAAAATTTGTGAATATCTCCTCCCATTTTAAAATTTTCACGATTGCCTTCAACTTTTTTTTTATGGGAGAAGGTGGCAAATGGGCTGGCGGTTCACCTGAAGTTAATTGATAACCGCCGCCCATTAACATTTGCAGCACCCGTAGGAATGCAAATGCGTTGTCACCTTAGTCCTTACCTACTACCTTCTTCAAAAAGGCCTTCCATAGTCCATATACGCAAAACATAAAGGCAGATTA